AGCGGGCACCAGTAACGTCTCCATTCATCCCCCTTGCGTGCTAGCGTAGCCCAGTGGCATCTGCTCATTCTAGGAACATGAAGAGCCCCAAACCGATCATTCAGGGCCTTGACGAAGAAGCCTGACCATCTCGTAGGTGGGCGTTCACGCGATCTTTTCACGTCCCGTGGAATCCAGTCGGTAATGGCTCTAGTCCAGCGGTCGTCTCCAAATCTCATTACATATCCAGCCCATCTGATTTTCGATGCCTTGGCAAACGAGACAGTGTCCCTGATTCTTGAGTGCTGCTGGAGGTCGGAACTCCAAATTCTATCTCCTCATTTGAGTGAAGCGTGATACTCCAAGCATAGCTCTTTATATACATATATGCTGTCACTGTCACTGTCACTGTCCTCCCACTGTTCATCGATTTGCTCGAGCGGGCCCAGTAACGTCTCCATTGGAGACTTTGTTGTTACTGTGTTTGGCATATCGAATACTTCACGGGTAGCGTGCCAGGCTCTACCGTGCAGGCAAGATACTCTCGGTAGCTTGCCGGGCTCTCCGAGAGGGGCGGAGGAATCGAACTCGGGTCGGCCATGTTGGCTGCGTGCAAGGCAAACGCCCTACCGCTGTGCTATCACTCCAGACCTACATATATGCATGTATATTTATTGTGGGGAAACCAAAGCTGAAGATTAAGTGAAGAAATTTAAGTGCAGAACCTCACATATGCAAGATCTATTGAGGGGCTGGAGTCATTAAAACAAACTGAGTTATCCAGAAAGCTTACTTACTTTCTGATATTTCAGGGATAGTACAGTGGGTAGGACACTGGCCTTACACACAGCCGACCTGAGTTCGATTCCCGGCTTCCTATATGATTCCTCAAGCACTGCCAGGACTAATTCCTGAGTGCAGAGCCAGAAGTAACCTCTGAGCATTACCAAGTGTAACCAAAAAGCAAAAAAGAAAAAATAAAAAAGACAGGTGCTCTATCAATGGGCTATTTCCCTACTCTATTTCTCCATTTTAAAATTTCTAACACTAAGCTTTTGTTTTCAATACGAGGCCAGACTATGTTTCAATTGGTATTAGCTCTATAAGTTATTCTTTATTATGTTATTTGTTACTTTTAAGGAAAATCATACCAGAGAGATACTATAGTGGGCAGGGTGTTTGCCTTGCACAGGCTGACCAGGGTTCCATCTCCGGCATCCCATATGGTCTCCTGAGCAATGCTAGGAGTAATTCCTGAGTGCAAGGCCAGGAGGAACCCCTGGCCATCATCAGTGTGGCCACAAAAAAACCAACCAAACAAAATAACAACAACAAAAAGTATGTGATCCCTGCCATCCCACAACTACATGTGTGTGGTCCTGCAACTGAAAGTGAGAACCCCAGCAAGCACTGCAACCAAGCATATGCCTCTGAGAAGGGTGTGGCAGCTAATGTGCTTGAGCACTGTGACAAAAGTGTGCACCCCCTGAGCACCCTCCTCAAGGGCACCACCCAGGAGCCACCCATGGCCATCACAGAAGCCAATGATGTGAGCTGACGCCAAGGGTGTGCAACTCTGCCCATCACAAAAACAACCTCACAGCGGGGAAAAGGAAAATAAGCATCGAGGGAAACTGGGGACACTGGTGGTGGGAAATGTACACTGGTGAAGGGTTGGGTGCTGAAACATTGTATGACCGAAACCCAATCATGAACAACTTTGTAACTGTGTATCTCATGGTGATTTAATCACATGTATACATATGATAGTTGAAAATACCAGAAAGTAAGTAACTTTCTGGATAACTCAGTTTGCTTTAATGACTCTGTCTAAAATTCTTTATCTAATAGCTAGATAAGAGTCATTCTTCAAATCATAAATACGAAGTGACAAAGTGGGAGAAAAGTCAAAGTAGGAGAAAGTCCCAACCAACGTAGAGTATGGCACACAAACCAGGCTCTCTGACTATAATTGGAATAGGCTACAAAATAACAATGAGTCTTAAAAATATTCATATAAAAAACTTTAAATAAATTTGGATTAAATAAAGAAATTCTGCACAGAGCCAGGAGTAAGCCCCAAGTACCGCAGAGTATATACTAAAAAATACTAAAATACTAAAAAACTAGATTAATGTTTTAAGTAAAAATCATTTATATAATGTACATTTATGAGGCATGTAAAGGAGAATCCTTTGGAAGTTTGATATGTAAAGTTTAATAGTTTAGGGAAAAGATTTATAAAGAATTTAAATTTTATTTTAGCATTTTGGTTTTCCCAGTGCTCTATACTACCTTTCTTTCTCTCTCTCTCACTTTCTTTCTCTCTTTCTTTCGCTTTCTCCCCCTTCCTTCCTTCCTTCCTTCCTTCCTTCCTTCCCTCCCTCCCTCCCTCCCTCCCTCCTTCCTTCCTTCCTTCCTTTATTTTTTTGACAGGGTGCAGGGAGGCCTGTTTTGTGGCCAGGCTCCACAGTGCTTGGGGATCACTTCTGGTGGTGCTTGGGGGGACCATACCATATGTGGTGCCAGGGAGTTGCTGCATCCAAGGTAAATGCCTTGTTTCTGTACTATCTCTCTGGCCCGAAAGCCAAAAGAAAGAAAGAAAAATAAGTAATTAAAAGCACTAGAAAATATAAGCCTGCCTAGGATTAACAAACCAAAGGAATATAATTCCTTTCAGAGAAACTTTATAAACATTGAAAGAAAAAAAGCATAGTTTAATAATAAGCATATATTGATACCGGGTAAGAAGGCTCATTATCATGAAGATGCCACCTTTCCCCATATTCATTTATAAATTGGAGAAAATTTTAATCAAAATCCCCAAGGTGTGGGGCTGGAGGGACAGCACAGTGGGTAGGGCATTTGCCTTGCACGCAGCCGACCCAGGTTCGATTCCCAGCATCCCATATGGTCCCCCGAGCACCTCCAGGAGTAATTCCTGAGTGCAAAGCTAGGTGTAACCCCTGAGCATCGCTGAGTGTGACCCAAAAAGAAAAAAAAAATTCCCAAGGTATTTTTTTTTTCTTCTGGTGAAATTTAACAAGCCAATTTAAAATATACACAGGATAGAAAAAGGATAAAAAGAGGTAAGATATCTCTAAATATATATATATATATATATACACACACACACACACATATATAGGAATTTGTCTATGGGAAAATACAATTCATATTTAGGCTTGACAAGCTTGGGCACTACAGATCTGTATTGGGCTGGACAAATGGAAGGGATGGGGGCACAGTGGGACATCAAAGGGTGCTTGGGTAAAGCATTCGGACAGCAAACTATCTGTGAAGTGAAAGTGCATCCCCACCTGACACCATGTCCTGCAGAAATGTGGAGGTGAACCAATTCCACTAGAATAAAAGTGGGAGGACAGGATGACTTCTCAGCACAGAGGCCCTCTGATCTGGGGATTAGATGAGGAGAAGGAATCTTCTGGAAGAACACTGAGGGAAGACTTCAAGCTGAGATAACAGTCTTTTTTAAAAAAATTTTTTAAGTTGCCCCCCAAGAGCAGCTCTCCGGCACGGCCATGGCCCCCGAAGCACAAGGACTTAATGTAGAGCCCAGCAGCTTGCGGCAGAAAAGTGAATGGACTATGAGTTAATCCATGCCACCATGCTTGCCCGGAAGGTAAAGGGTATTGCTCCCTTCTGCCTTTTTCCCTCTGGAAAGCAATATGGCGGCCACCTCAGAGCTTTTTGGAAAGCCAGGTATGAGCCGGCTGTGATGGGGCAACTGAAACCTCATGGGAAGGGGGGGGCGTTCCCGGCTCATCCTTCACGCCCTACTGAGGTCACGAGTTACCCCCAATGAGTGGCTCTCCAGCACGGCCATGGCTCTGGAGCCACAGAAACCAATCTCATAATTATCTAACTCTCAGCAGAAATACTTCCAGGCTTAATAAGTAAAATACCAGAAATCCAAAATCATTTGGTTCTTTTAACCAGCTGTAGAAAACAAATTATTTCACAATGCCTTTTCAGCAGGTCTGATATGGGGGTGTAAACTCCAAATAATAATGGTGCATCTTTTGTCAAAACAATGAATCTAATCAAAGTGGATAGAGTGTTAACTAGAATTCATCTGCCTCACAGGCATTGGGAGGGTTGGGACGGGGGTATGTTGGGATTCTTGGTGGTGAAAATAAGTACTGGTGAAGGGAAATGTGTTTGATGATTGCATGACCAAGACTTAAACCTGAAAGCTTTGTAACTTTTCCCATAGTGATTCAATTAAAAAGATTTTTTTAAAAAAACTTTAACTGAATCACTGTGAGATAGAGCATTACAAAATCATTCATGATTGTGTTTCAGCCAGACAATGTTCCAACTTCCATCCCTCCACCTGTATAATTTCTCAGCAATAATGTCCCCTGTTTCCCTCCCGCCTCTTCAAGGCATGTCCCATCCCAGTCAATCTCTATGGCAGGCACCTCTCCTCTCCCTCTTTTTCTCTTCCTCTCTCTCATGGTTTGCAATACAGATGCGGAAAGGTTCTCTTCTATATCCCTCTACTTGCTTTCAACACTCAGGATAACCAAGTCTTGAGTGGTCTTTTCTGGGAGAGTGGACAGGAAACACAGACCAAGACAATGACAAGACTGTGGTACTTTAAGACAAACATACATACGCTTATTATTATTATTATTATTATTATTTTTTTGCTTTTTTTTGGGTCACACCCGGCGATGCACAGGGATTACTCCTGGCTCTGCACTCAGAAATCACTCCTGGTGGTGCTCAGGGGACCATATGGGATGCTGGGAATAGAACCTGGGTCGGCTGCGTGCAAGGCACCCTACCCGCTGTGCTATCTCTCCAGCCCCCATACGCTTATTTTGAACCTGGCTTCTGACCTGTATCTTTACCAGAGTTGTTATATTCACAGGATGGAAATATTAAAAATAAAGTCTTTCTACATTTCAAATAACCCACTCTTATTAATTGCCACTCAGATATGCAAAAGGAAAACAAAAACATTTTCTTAGAGGCTGAGAGATTTAATTTACCTTTCCTCTTTTTTGCGGGGCGCCTTGGTCTTGATTACTAGTAATTCTGTTGGCCTTGTTCTGCGCATTTGGGATGATCTAATATACACACAGAGAAAATAGAAAAAGGAAACACTTCAACTTCATTGTAATTACATTTACCAATAATGTCTTTAGTAACTAACCCTGTGACTTCATCAAAAAATGAAACATATGAAAAGCAAGTAAAATTCAAGGCAAACAATGTGTGTGCACATGTACACATGCTCCATCATCAAGGAGCCATCAGCTCACAACTTTGTATATGTAGACCCAGAAGGAGAAAATGAAGAAGGAAAACAAGGTCATGATACCGATTGCCATCCAAATACCTGACTTTGCAAAATATGAGGGCACTCTAGGTAATTCTTAGAACAGAGGAGGCACCATTTATTTGATAGATTTACCTTATTCATTATTGTACCCTGGTTTGCCTTTGTTTTGTAGTGCATTTGAGCACACTCAATAAATATTTCACTACCAGTGTTAGCACAAAGATGAATTACAACTCTATTTACACCCCAGGACAGAATCTGTTCAATGAAGCTGGAATTCGCTGTTATTTATCACTTATAACCTTGGTGCTGAGAAGGGCCGAACACATCACAGCTGCATCCAATAAATGTTTATACATGAGTAAAACAGTTCAATTTAGTACAATGACTTTAATTCTGAATGGTGCCGAGAGCTTAGATTACTTCTTGACTCATCTCCTTTTTGGAAACCTGTGGCATATCTTTTTCATTTAAATTCAATCACTGTGAGATACACAGTTACAGTTCAAGATTGGATTTCAGTCATACAATGTTTCAACACCCTTCAGAGTGTACAATTCCCATCACCAAGGTCCCCAGTTTCCCTTCCACCAACACCCCCATCCCAACCTGCCTCTACAGCAGGCACTTTTCTTTTTTGGGGGGGGTCACACCCAGCAATGCGCAGGTGTCAGGGGTCACTCCTGGCTCTGCCCTCAGGAATCACTCCTGGCGGTGCTCAGGGGACCATATGGGATGCTGGGAATCGAACCCAGGTCGGCCGCGTGCAAGGCAAACACCCTACCTGCTGTGCTATTGCTCCAGCCCCCCGGCACTTTCTCTCTCTCTCTCTCTCTCTCTCTCTCTCTCTCTCTCTCTCTCTCTCTCTCTCTCTCTCTCTCTCTCTCTCTCTCTCTCTCCCCTTCTAGGCAATACACATGCTAAAAGGTTATCCTGTATACCCCTTTATCTACTTTCAGCACTCAGTTCTTGTCCAAAGTGATTTCCAACTATCATTGTCATAGTGGTCCCATCTGTAGGATAACACTGGTTTGTCATTTCTCCCTGGCTGATGGAAGCTTAGGTTTACTGGGTTACATCCATCACAATGCTCCTGAGTCACTCCCATTTCTGTGTTTATCTTTAACCTCTTCTCTGTGCTCTGCCTCCCCAACCTGTCAATCGGCTTTATTCCTAAATCAGACTGTTGATTTGTATTTGTAAGTGAAATGCTGTTTTTCTTCTTCCCTTATGTCCTTTTGCATAGTTTACTTTGAAGCAATGTCCTTTTTGTATAGACACAGGAAGACAGTTAATGTTCTGCTTTTGTAACTTGGGAGTTAATTGACTCCGAATAATATTCACTCTGGGGCATCTGTTTTCTTGACTTAAGCCTTAATTCCTAGAACCCCAAGAGCAGGGTGCCGCCGAGGGACTGGATGGACCCAGGTAAGTTATGAGCTACCCTGGCATTGAAACAGGCCAGGCCAAGTGCCATAATACTTAACTATAAGTTAAGAGCATGGTCATGGACAAATTCTGTCACGATCCAAAGAGTAGCAACTGGATAAGAACCCTGCTTAGGGTCAGGAAAGCCTAATCTGGCCTGAGTACTGTAGTCTGAGATCTACAGAGAGATGTCCCCAGGAGAGCCACCCTATAAGCTTAATGTATCTCTTTCCGTGCCCATACAAAATAACTAATATTAAGAAGTAGAATTAAGATGAATGTTTAAATGGTTTTGGGAGTAAGGAAAGAAGAAACCCACCTCTAAATGGTATTTTGCACTTGAGTGGATCTCCTGGTTGCAGGAGATCAGGAAGGGCTTTCATATGTTGATTGTGCTACCTGATCTAGGAGTGGTTGCTACCCTCAATGCTTGGAGGTTAGGCACAAGACAGAGGCAGAGAGATGGAGCTTGGAGAGACTAGCACGGGGGACAGGAGGAGATGGGAATGAGGGGCAGTGTGAGACTGGGATGGGGAGCTTAGTGAGACTGGAAAGGTGCATGGGGTGGATGACATAAGCAGCAACTGATCACAATTCAGCCTGGTGGCCCTGTTCCCTCCTTCATGGGTCCCTTGGCAGTGGCAGCAGGACGCAGTAGTGAAGTGGCTGAGTAGGGAAGTGGCTCATGGCCACCGAATGCACCTGGCGGGCGAGAGAGAGACCACACAGCCACCACTGTCGCCACTCTCTTATTCGTTTTCAGAATTCATACTATCTTTATCGTAACTGCCTAGCTCCTCGCCACCACCACTTGTAGCAAGCGTCAACCATAGACCAGTCGTCCTGGCCCTTGTTTCTACTGTCTTTGGCATTAGTCTCATACTGTGTTCTTGTATGTCCCACAAATGAGCGCAGTCATTCTATGTCTGTCCCTCTCCTTCTGATTTATATCACTCAGCATGATACTCTCTATGTCCATTCACTTATTACACAAATTTCATGGCTAGTTTTTCCTGGTGGACCTATGGGATATCTTGGGGAATTATAAAATTATTAGGATATTTGGTTTATTTGTTCTTGGGCCACATTCAGCCATGCTTGGACTTACTCTTAGCTCTGTTCTCAGGGATCACTCCTGGTAGTGCTGGGGAACCATAAGAGGTATTGGGCCTAGAAGTTGGGCCAGCTGCATGCAAGGCAAGTCTCATACCCCATACCCTATCTCTCTGTCCACCATTGGCAGTTTTTTAAGGTTCTTCAAGTGGCCCAAATAATCTTGGCATAAAAGCTGATGACTAACAGGAAGAATAAGAGAAAATTGATTTTCTTTCCTAAAATTAGAGGAACTTTCTGCTCTCTGTCTTTGATAGTTAATAAACAAATTAAGAAACAATTACATTTTTTTGTAATTGTGAAAAAACAAGTTACATTTCCTTTAAATGTAACTTAAGGTACATTTTTCTGGGGTCAGAGAGACAGTACAGACAATACTTGCCTTGGGTGTGGCCAACCCAGGTTGGATCCCCAGAATCCCATATGGTCATCCCAAGCCCCATCAGGAGCGATTCCTGAATGCAGAGCTAGGAATAATCTCTGAATATTGCCAGGTGTGGCCCCCCCCAAAAAACAAACAAACAAAAAATTAAAATGTGATTGAGAAATTCAGGAGAAAAAGCTTAAGAAAGCAATGTACTGGTGATAACCCCCAAAGTAACTGTTAAAAATACAAATATAAAAGTAATATAAAACTCAACTCAAGGAAAAGTACAATAATATCACCATCACTCGAATTGTGTTGCTAACGGAGAATTCTCAAATAACCAAGACTCCTTTTGACATAGGAAATAACTTCTAATGGGATTTTGGAGGAAAATTCCAAAATTTAATAAAAACTGGTAAAAGTTATTGCTTCTAATTTCTAATCCTACAACAATCAGTTCCTCTTGGATTAATAAGTAGACCAAAGAAAGCAGCATATTGCAAAGACAGGAAATTTTATTCTGTTCATCACGTCCTTCAATAGTAATCTCTTTGTGCTAAAAAAAAAAAAAAAAGGGACAATTCATGGACAGAGCAATTAACACCATCACCTGAACATGCTCTCTTGGCAGAAACATAAGACAGGTCAGTGCTTGCTGGACCGAATCACAATGAGACCGTCTGCACTCCTGCATAGAGGATAAGCCTAGCACAATACTGGGGGGATTTTCCTTTTCTGAATGGTAGAAAACAATGGTACTGGTCATGTCACCCATGAGAAAATCCCCCAACTAGCCCAGCAAGAACATGGGTTTTGTTTTGGTTGACTTTATCACCTATTTACATGCTTTGAGTGCTATTTCAGATTGACTTTTTCACCTATTGACATGCTTTGAATGCTATTTTTTTTCTAGCAGAACACACAAATACATCATTTGATTGGCGCATTGTAGCTATCAGTGAGTATCATTTAGTAAGGAACAATCAGTTCGATTTTTCTGTTGCGCTTAGTTTCCAGAAATTTCACCTTGTCTTTCTCTCAATATTATGGATATGAAACTGAATTGCACGGGCTAGAGCGATAGTACAGCAGGGAAGGCCTTCCATGCAGCAGACGTGGGTTCCTTAGTACGGTCACACCACATATGGACCCCAGAGCACCACCAGGAGGGATGCTTCAGCACAGAGCCAGGAGTAAGGTCTGAGCACTACAAGTGTGGCCCCCAAACAAAATAAAACCAATTATAACAAAACTAGACATCAAAGACTTCTAAGACTTGATTCAGCTCATAGCTCTTGTTCCAGATGTTCCAGATGGACAGTCTAAACAGCATGACCAGATTGTTCATCGGGGCGATGCAATGCACAAAGTTAGGTGACCCCAGCAGGGAGAAGGCTGAAGTCAGCTGCAGGTTGACAAGTCATAGATTACAAGTCAGCTGGGGTGGCACAGGGACTTTCCAGCCCTTGGGGCAGCCAATTATCTACTTGTCATCTTGTCCATCGAAGTAGGACTTTCTGTCTGCCCCACCCTACACGGAAGACTGAAAAAGCACTACATAGCTGTAAAGCAACTTTTTAAAACAATGCAGTTTGGGACTGGGAAATGGGGTGGGGGGGGCCTCCTCCCATAGGCCTTAAATGAAAGCAAATATCGCTTCCCATTACACATCAGAGGGGATCGGTGCTATTTCTGCTGAGCAGTGCAGCACACAATCCACAGCCTACCCCTGCCACCTGCCTGTCAGAGCTCTATTCCACACCTAAAGAGTCATCAGTAGCAGAATGGCCTCAACATCAATTGTGTTAGTTGTTTGTTGTTCAGCTTTTTGTGGGCCAAGCTTAGCAGTGCTCAGGAGTGACTTCCAGTTCAGTGTCCAGGGGTCACTCCTGGGCTCTGCTCAGGAATCAAGGGGTGCCAGGGGTGAATTCCAGGTCTCTTTTGCGCTATTCCTTTTGTGGGTTCCCTCTCAGCCTCAGTACTGCTATTTTTGAACTCAGTCTTCAAAAGAATTCCAGGATTTCCAGGATCATGATTTTACAGGTTTTAATAAATGCTAGACCACCCCCCGCTCAGGTCCCCTTTGTACCCTTATCTTCTTTACATTTCCTTTGTAAGCAAAGGAACTGGTTCAGAAAAGGTAAGTAATAAAGTGAGCAAGGAATGGAGATGAGGTCTGGGTGACTGCACAGGCCGTGGACCAAAACTGGGATGCCTGGAATGGCTCAGACTTGTCCAGTAGATCAAAACCAGAGAGGGGAGGAAGGAAAAAGAAGTGAATAACCAAACTTTTACAAAGTGAATCCCTTTTCAGAGTAACTGCTTAGTAGCAAGGAAAATATGTGAAAATACTTGAGAGAGAAGTTGGGTATACAGGACCAGAGCGATAGTACAATGGGGAGGGCATCTGCCTTGTGGCCGACCCAGGTTCAATCCTTGGCATCCCATATGGTCCCCTCAAGAACCACCAGGAATAATTCCTGAGTGCAGAGCCAGGAATAAGCTTTGAGCATCATTAGGTATAACCCCAAAAGCAAAATAAATAAATAATAATAGAGTTGGGTCTACAGAGAGAGACTATTTTTTAAACTTTTGGAAACTAGGAGCTGATACTTACTCTTGGTGTGGGTGACAGGCTCTGAACCACAAACACCACTGGGTTCCCTGCATTCTTGATGGCTTCCACGGCCTCTGTGTGAGATGCATTCTGCAGATCCACTCCAGACACCTACAGCACACAAGGTATTGATTTCAATTAGCAAGGCAGGACATACTGCAGATAGGTTGATTCAGCCTGCAAGCGTATTACCCAGAAATGACCGACACCAGAAACTAATGAATTAGACAAAGCCATCAATAAAAATAGGTAGGTGCGTAGATACACAGATAGATGCCCTTAATAAAGCTTTGCTATATTAAAAGAACATGTTTAAGAAAGTGTTTCTGCTTCTGGCTAAAATGTACCTGTAAATAAGGAAAAATATCTTAATAACAAAAGCCCAGGTTAAATATCCTCATGCAAATCTGGTAGTACATGAAAGAACCTTCTGATACTTCTGGGCTTGCAGTGTCACCTCCTGTAGTAACACATCACAGCCTGTGAGTGGGGGAGGGGAAGGCAGGGCTCTCTGAATTCCTCCCACATTATTAAAGAATGACTTTTTAAAGCAAATTTCCTATGATCAAACTGAGCAGTTGAATTTTCTCAAATTTTGTTTACAAAGAATCTTGATCGGCTTTTTAAAAATTGAGCGTTTTGTGTTCAATAAATGTGAGTGTTGTGAAAATGGCTTCCCTTATCATCTCTCTAATTCTGGGGCCATATTTGCTGGTGCTGGGGGGTTACTCTTGGCTGTGTTTGAGGGTTTGTTCTGGAGGTGCATGAGTGAACACATGGTACCAGGGATCAAACTGCATTCCCCTGCACACAAAGCATGTGCCCAAACCACTGAGCTCTCTCTCCAGCCTCCCAGAACGGCTCCTTCCTATAAAAATTTCAGAGAATCTAACTTTTGAATATGTCTCTAATCTGCAAGAGCGTTCTGCCCTTACCTAACATACTGAACAGAACAGCAAAGGTAACAAAGCCTAGTAAACACTGGGGTGGTTTATAGTCAGGGCAAAGTGACACTGTGGCTACTGCTTTGGCTCAAGGGGCTGTAGAAATAAGAATGTAGGTCCAGAGGGATGCGGAGTCAAGTTGAGCTTTGTTTTTTTTCTGATGGGAGAAATAATGGTATTAATGATGAAGGAGATGGTAGGAGGGAAAGATGAAGAAAGAAATGATGGCGAAGAGGGCATGACTTTGCAGGCCAAGTTAGAGAGATTGGCTGCAGGATGAGTCACAGGGAGTTCAGCTGCTTTGCTGTTACAGGTCATTAGAAAAAAAGATTTGGTGTGCTGTAGAAGCAAGGGGAAGTTGTCTGCATGGCTGCTATGTTCTCAACTAAAGAAGAAACAAGACCCATGGACTTAGGTTAAGATTGAAGTATCAATGCGAACAACACGCATAGATAGTGGAAATGAGGGCCAGGACTAGTCCATGGTGGGGTGCTTGCCACAGTTGTGGGGGAGAGTGCAGTTAGAACACAGAAGGGATCACAACTGGCAGATGCTTGCCTTGCATAAACCATGACCGGGGTCAATCCTCAGCAGCACATATAGTCCTCTGAGACCATTTAGGAATGATCCCTGAGCACAGGGCCAGGAGCATGACCCGAGACAGACATACGTGGCCCCCCCCCCAAAAAAAAACCAATAAAATAAAATAAAGGCAGGTGGAGCATAAAGAGCAGTGAAGAGGAGGAGAGCACTGAGGCCCAGCTGGCCCTGGTTAGGATGTCGGTTCTTTTGTTTTTTTTAATTTTTTTTTTTATTTTTAGTGAAACACCATGAGGTACAGTTGTAGATTTACAATTTTTTGTGCTTGGGTTTGATTATACAATGATCAGATACCCATCCCTCCACCAGTGCCCATTTTCCACCACCATGGATAATATCCCCCCCACCCCCATCTCCCCATCCCCCCCTGTCTCTGTGGCAGGGCAATCCCCTGTGTTCTCTCTCTCCGTTTGGGTGTTGTGGTCTGCAAAAGAGGCATTGAGTGGCAAACATGTTCAGTCCATAGTCTACTTTCGACATGCATCTCCCCTCCTGGGAGGATCCTCCAAACATCCTTTATTTGGTGCTCCCTTCTCTATCTGAACTGCCCTTTCCTCTAGGATACCGGGCTGGCCTCTAAGCTATGGAGTAATCCTCCTGGTGCTGATCTCAGCTATTCTTGGGTATTAATCTCATACTTTGTTACTTTATATCCCCCAGATGAATGCTATCTTTCTATGTCTATCCCTCTCTTTCTGACTCATTTCGCTTAGCATGATACTTTCCATGTTGTACCACTTGTATATAAATTTCATGACTTCATCTTTTCTAAGAGCTACATAGTACTCCATTGTGTAGATGTACCAAAGTTTCTTTAACCAGTCCTCTGTTCTTGGGCATTCAGGTTTCTTCCAGTTTCTGGCTACTGTAAAGAGTGCTGCAATGAACAAACAAGTGCAGATGTCACTTCGGGATGTCGGTTCTTTGTCCTTAGACACCAACCTCCGGTAGAGAACAATAAGGCTCTAGAAAAGCTCTGCTCCCATCTAAATGGAGAAAGTAAATGTATAATCGTCACTGTCCTCCTGTTGTTCATCAATTTGCTCGAGTGGGCCCAGTAACATCTTCACTGTGACAATTGTTATTGTGTTTGGCATATCAAATACGTCACGGGTAGCTTGCCAGGCTTTGCCATGCGTGCGGGCGAGATTCTCTCCATAGCTTGCTGGACTTTCCGAGAGGGGCATAGAAATCGAACTCGGGTCAGCCATTTTGGCCACTGTTCTATCGCTCCAGCCCATGGATAATCATAAATTAATAAAATAATTTGCTCGAGCGGGCCCAGTAACGTCTCCATTGGAGACTTTGTTGTTACTGTGTCTGGCATATCGAATACTCTCGGTAGCTTGCCGGGCTCTCCAAGAGGGGCGGAGGAATCGAACTCGGGTCGGCCATGTTGGGCGCTAGTGAGTTCTAAAAGCAGTCACAATGGTTTCATGAAGCTGCATATGAATTATCCAATCTCCCAAATACTTAACAGTAAGTAGAGTTTATATGAGTGACTTCATCTCCCAGTAACAATCAACTTTTGTTAACATAGATTTCCTGTGTTAAATGCCCACTGAAATTGGGAAATAAGGGGAAAGGTAGAGCTCTATTTTATTTTGGAAGAAAAAAGAAAACTTATATTTTCTCAGTTTTAAAGTTATAATCACTATGGATGTCTGTCGACTCTGATGAAAATTAAATTCCAACTTCCTATGGGGCAAAATATGTCTTTTGTGATTCAAGATTCTTTTACATTATAGTCTTAAGATAAAAACGTTTGTTGGGGGCTGGAGAAATAGTACAGTGAGACTCTGCATGCGGAGGTTCTATCATTGGCATCCCATATGGTCCCTGAGCACTGCCAGGAGTAATTCCTGAGTGCAGAGCCAAGAGTCACCCCTCAGCATCTCTGGGTGTGGCCCCCAAACAAAACAAAAACAAAACAAAAAGGAAGCTTCTGATTCTGAGATCTGGGGGCCGGAAAGATAGTACAGCAGGTAAGGCGCTTGCCTTGCATGTGGCTGAAACAGCTTCAATATGGTCCCATATGGTTCCCCAACCTTGCCAGGAATAGTTCCTGGATGCAGAACCAGGAGTGATCCCTGAGCATTGCTAGGTGTGGCACCAAAACCAAAACAAACAGAGATACGAGGTGAGAGAAAAAGAAATTACATGTTCAAGAGAGAACAGATTTCTCCAGAGCTGAAAGCACAAGCAAGGAGGGATTCACAAAGACAGACAAGCACGATTCAAGGGAGAGCTTGAGCTTGAAGAGCAACCTCCCCCCACCATTTCTTTTATACTACTTTTCTCTGGAGCGATAGCACAGTGGGCAGGGCCTCTGCCTTGCATGCAGCCAACAGGGCCGACCCGAGTTCGATTCCTCCGCCCCTCTCGGAGAGCCCTGCAAGCTACCGCGAGTATCTTGCCCGCACGGCAGAGCCTGGCAAGCCACCCGTGATGTATTCGATATGCCAAACACAGTAACAACAAAATCTCCAATGGAGACATTACTGGGCCCGCTCGAGCAAATCGACGATCAACGGGAGGGCCTTTACTTTACTTACTTTTCATTGGAAAATATTTAAACAAATGTCTTGTGCTTAACAAAACATTTCAGGTCATTATGAATTTAAAAAATAGAAATCATTAAGTCTGAGACAAACAAAACTCTTATTAGTAAGTTTAAACTCTTATTACTAGGTTTAAACTCGTATTAGTAGGTTTAAACTCATATTAGTAGGTTTAAACTCTTATTAGTAGGTTTAAACTCTTATGTTCAAGAGCAAAGATAGATGATGGATGCTCCCAAGACATAAAATAATGTACAATATAATTAGATTGGGCAAAGAGGCAAAGACAAGCACAAACACTTCACTAAAGAGAATACAGAGATGGCAATCACAATCAATCACAATCACAACCATCCTGTAATTCGTCGATTGCCTCGAGCAGGCGGCCCCAGTAACGTCTCCTTCGTCCTAGCCCTGAGATTTTTTTAAAAAGTGCCATATTCGGAGGGTGTTTGGAGGATCCTCCCAGGAGGGGAGATGCAGGTTGAAAGTAGACTGGACTGAACATGTTCGCCACTCAATGCCTCTTTTGCTGATCACAACACCCAAAAGGAGAGAGAGAACAAAAGGGAATGCCCTGCCACAGTGGCAGGGGGGGATGGGGGGATGGGGGGGAGGGATATTATCCTGGTGGTGGAAAATGGGCACTGGTGGAGGGATGGGTATTTGATCATGGTATGACCGAAATCCAAGCACAAAAATTTGTAAATCTACAACTGTACCTCATGGTGTTTCACTAATAATAATTAAAAAAAAAGTGCCATATTCAAGGCTCTTTCAGAGTTAGGAGAATGAGACCCTTCATTGTTACTGGCATTTGGCATATGGGTACGCCACGGGGAGTTTGCCAGACTCTGCCGTGTGGGCAGGTTACATTCGGTAGCCTGCCAGTTTGTCCAAAGTAGAAATGAGATGATAAGATGTCGAATGCAGCCTTTGCTTCCGGGAGCTGGGTTTCATAGTCTCTGAGTCTTGGCCGTTGATGGGATTACACGGCGCCAGGGGGCCAGTTGGTGGGTGTGACCCCCGCCTACTGGAATTTGGAGGATCTGGGCGAAGGATGCTCAGCCCCGATCCAAGTAGGCTTGGAGATCTCAGCCCCGGGACCCGCATGGCTTTGTTCCTCTGAGAATACAGAGATGGCAATCAAGTACATGAAAAGTCCCTTATTATTCCCAGGAAAATTCAAATTAAGAATTTTCCATTTGTAATCTCCAAGCTCCCTCAGAGCAGGAGTGAGCCTCCTCCCCCCATCTCTCAAGCTTATCAGTAGCTTGGCAGTCACACCCACAAGCGCCCCTGGCACCATATAATCTCATCAATGGCCATGACCCTGAGATTCGGAAATAAAGCTACAGAAAGAGAGCAACATAGGCCTTACCCACAAGTGAATCTGCCGTATAACTGCATTCCAAATTTTAGAATTCTGGGAATGCACAACCCATTCGTGGCCATGTAACCTCTCATACAATACACCACTGATGTACCAAGAGTAGCACACATTCGATTGGGTTTTACAAACATGTTTGTAATCTCTTATACAAGGACATAATGGCTACGGATGATACACAGCAATCTTTACACACTTTCCTCTAAGGAAACTTTATTGGACCATTTTTAGTGGATTATTCATAATTCAAGCAATATTGAATGTTCGTATGCAAGCAATACAAAATTAATTGTTTTGTTCTGCTCTGTGGGGCATGGTTTGGGATTTGGGGTGGAAACATCTGAAATATGGTGGCGGGAAAGTGCAACTGTGGTGGAATTGGTGCTTGAATATTAAATGTATTGAATTATTGTGAACAACTTTATAAAAATAAAGTAAAATTTAGAGAAAAAAGAATTTTTCATTTGTAATGGTCTATCTCATGAATATTCAATTATTTTTTTTTTACTTTCAAATATCATGCTCTACCTCTCAAAATGGCTAAAATGAAAAACGGTAACACCACTAAATCTAGGTAAGGATGCAGAAAAACTGAAACACACATACACCGTTGGTGGGGAGATTAAATATTTCTATCTCTGGAAAAGTTTGGTTTGTATGTTTATTTTGCTTGCCTTGGGGCCATACTTGGCAGTGCCCAGGGCTTACTCCTGGCTCTGTGCTCAGCAATCACTCCTAGTGATGCTGAAATTTGGACAGTTTCTCACTTCCAAACCAAAAATGGACTTATCATACAACCAGCATGTTTGCACTCTGGAGCATATGCAGAAAAATTCAATCTCACTCAGGAACACATGTACATATGGGCTGTTTTGGGTTTTTTTTGGATGTAATTGGGGGAAGTGTTGGGGGAATACACAGAGTTGTTGAGAATATGTAGAATCAAACTGGGGTTGGCCACATGCAAGACAAGTAACTTGAATCCACAAACTCTCTCTCTAGCCCATTGGGCACAGATTTGGGGGGGTTGCGGTGGGGGTGGGGGCACACACTGGTGCTCAGGGGATAATCTTGGCTCTGCACTCAGGGATCAACCCTGGCGGGACTTGAGGGCATTGTGTATAGATGTTTATAGTAGTTTTATTATAATAGCCAAGTGCTGGAAACTACCCAAATGTCTTTCAGTGGTGGGTAGTTAAACTGTGTCATCCCTGTGCCCTGGAAGTCTACTCAGTAATAAAAATGAATTGTTAGATGTGACACAGTGAATAAATTTCTAGGAAATGATGCTAAGTGGAAAAAAGAAGTGATCTCAAGAAGACCCGTGATGCATAATGCCATGTATACGATGACTGTGGAATAACATAATTATAGCCCTGGAGAAAAAGATTAGGGGCTGGAAGAGGTGAAGGATTGGATAGAGGGAAGAGAGAGAGGCAAGAATGCTCAGGGATTGTGTTGGAGATGGCAGTTAAGTTTCTTAACGGTGGTGTTTATGCAAAGTGAGACATATACTCAATTTGTACAGAGTGATAAACACACACATAAATGAGTGCATGTACAACTGGGGAATGCTGAGAGGCGTTCGTGAATTGTGCCATTGTTGGTGTCTTGGTTTTACTACTGTACCACAGTGTGTCCCCAAGGGGAAGACCAAGGGAAGGATATGTGGGATTTCCTTGAAAGTCCCACTGAATTCCCTATGATTCTATAATAACAGCAAGTCCTCTCTTAACACTGTTGAAAGTTCTTGGAAAGTGGGACCATCAGCAAAATGTATAATGAAACCTATTTAAACATAGGGAAATTGTCAGAAGAAGACTTAAATTACCATAAGCATATTTCAGGTCTTAAGAACATCAACCTTTGGGGCTGGAGCAATAGCACAACAGGTAGGGCGTTTGCCTTGCACGCAGTCGACCCGGGTTCAATTCCCAGCATCCCATATAGTCCCCTGAGCACCGCCAGGAGTAATTCCTTAGTGCATGAGCCAGGAGTAACCCCTGTGCATCACCGGGTGTGACCCAAAAAGCAAAAAGAAAAAAAGAGTAACAACCTTCTATAATAAAGACTAAGAAACTACTTCTGCCACTCAACAATATTCAATATTCATTCATTTGGAAAATTTCTGGGTTAGGGTTATTCCAATTCAGGATTGTAGGAGGCCAGAGACTATCATGAAAGCTCAGGGTACACAGTGCTCCTCCTTCCAGTGTCCACTGGCTATGCCACTGACACACGGGTTTAGAAAATTCAGAGTTGACTAAGGATAGGGACAAACATAATATCGGCCTTTTGCCATCCTCTGTTGAGAAATGGTTTTGTTCAGTCAGTGAAGATTTTTGTTTTGTGTTTCTATACCACTTCAGACTCTCATAAAATGGCACACACAATGTCCAAACTAAGGCATCTAAATAGAAGTCACCTACTTGGGTCCCTAACTCGTACCCCAGGCAGGAATTGAGGAGCTCGGTGAAATGATTCCTTTCAGTCTTATAGGACATGCCAAACACAGCCAGGCTGTTAGCCTTGTTTACCTCAAGTATTTTATCTCCAGTTTTAAGAGCATTTGTTCTTCCTGCTGGACTGTCTTCTAAAACTTGTTTGATGAATATTCCTTTCAGCTCTTCTCCATTCTTCAGGCGTTTTATAATGGTTTGTCCACCAACAATACTAATCCCCAGAGACACATCGGGCTCCCTAAAAATCTCCACACTGTAAAGGGAAAAAAAATTAATTCATTAACAAGTTAATGTACCTTGGTAGCCTATTTATCTTGTTCAATTTATACCCTCTGTATATTTAAATATATTTTCTAAATATATTTTTACAATGTTGTAGAAGTCAGACCTAGTTCCTAAGGGATATTGTCAATAATTTATTAGCATATGTGAGAGTTTAAATTCTTAAAGGGGAAAAGGGGAAGATGCCTTTTTTTTTTTTTTTTTTTGCTTTTTGGGTCACACCCGGCAATGCACTCAGGAGTTACTCCTGGTGGTGCTCAGGGGACCACATGGGATGCTGAGAATCGAACCTGGGTTGGCCTCGTGCAAGGCAAAACGCCCCACCCCACCCACTGTGCTATCCCTCCAGCTCCAAGAGGAAGATATCTTTCTTTTTGCTTTTTTGCCTTTTTTGTTTGTTTCTGGGCCTTACTCTGCAGTACTCAGGGCTCACTATTTTTTTTTCCTATGCTGTCACACTGTCTGTTGTTCATCGATTTGCTTGAGCGGGCCCAGTAACGTCTCCATTTTGAGACTTGTTGTTACTGTGTTTGGCATATTGAATACATCACGGGTAGCTTGCCAGGCTTTGCTGTGCACAGGCCATTTATCTGAAATGCCAACTATATGTAGAATAAAGTCACACAGCAGTAATAGGAGAAAAATAGGACCACCATAAACCTTTATACAACTATAATGATACCCAAAAGAGAAATGTATCATTTTACAATGCTTCACACAGACAAATTCAAGCTTGGAGATACCTAAAGAGAAATACTATCTATCTCTTTTAAAAAATCACTATGTACAACTGAAGCATAAACAAGTTTAACAAAGTACTGGTTATGCATGTTGTAGAAAATGGACAAGAGGGAAAAAAAAAAAGACAAGAGATCAGTTAAGAAAAATTTCTGAGCCTTTAGCAGTAAAGGCACCGGACTTGATTAACATTAACAGCACAACCACAGGAAATGCAGTGTGGGAGCAGAAGCTGGGGAATCCAGAGGTGACACCGAATCAGCGAGTGGAGTTCAGTAATCTTGAATCTTTCAACCACCCCATCTCAGGGCAGGAGGTGGTGCCACCTGCCCAGAGAACTCAGAAACACAACCACATGTGGGCATATGACAAAGCTACCAGAGCTGATTTGTCCCTCAGACCCACACAAACACACCAACATGAAAAGGTTATTTCAAGACACACGCTTGCAAGTTATCTCGCTATAGAATACAACCATAGCATTATAATATTCAGCATATGGAAGATTAATACAGCCATCAGGACTCATGGCTTGTACATGGCTGACCCAGATTGGATTCCAGGCAAGGCAAATGGTATCTGAGCCAGAAGTGATCCCCCCAAGCCAGGAGTAAGCATTGAGCACTGCTGCAGGTGGCAAAATCCAAACCAACAAAAATTTATAAAGGAAAAAAAAAACATACCACAAAAATACATGAAAAGGGGCTGGAGGGAGAGTAGAATGTGCAGGTCTCTTGAGTTACACACGGCCAACCCAGGTCCCCTAAGCACCACCAGGAGTGGTCTTCTTTGCTTCAAAGGTGGGAGAGTTTCCTTCTCTCCCTACTTTCATACTCTTCTTCTAAAGGAAGTATGTAGCAGAACTTGTCCTTCCAAATATCTTTGATGGAGATCAAACTGCATCGTTCAAACTAATAATTAACTCACAAGAAAAGGGACTGAAAACCAGCTTGGCAGAGTTTGGAGACAAAACGAAAATGCAAGAAAAACCAGATGGTGTGGAGAGGGAGGGAGAGGAAGAATTTGTAGGACCCAAGAGCAGGGCTGTTTAAACATCTCCACTTGTGACCCTTTCCCACCTGAGAAATGTCCCTGTGACCTGGGAGCATAGGTATATAAATTAGTAGAAACTCAGTTATTGGCAATAAATCAAAAAGAAATTTAGTTTTAAGTGTATTTTAAGTAGATACACAACCCATATGGGCTTGTAACCTACAGTTTCAGAGGCCCGGCCAGGGATGGAGCAGAAGGGGTTAATGCACATGCTTTGCACTCAGGGGGCTCGGATTAATCTGTTTTTGTTTTGGGGTCACACCCAACGGTGCTCAAGGTTAACTCCTGGCTCTGTGCTCAGGGATCACTCCTGGTGTAAGGGCGAAACTGATGCCATGACTGGTGGCAGAAATTAGAAAAATCAGCTAGGAAGATTTCTTTCTGAAACAATAGGCATGTCCTGCTTATGTAATCAAACCCTCCATAAACTGCTTGCTGCCTGAAGTCGGGGTCACTCTCAAGAGACCACTCTGTGGGTGAGATAGATTACCCCAGTATATTGGAATGAAACTCCGACTGCCTCTGCATTATTGAGTTCGTGTTTCTCTCCATCTCGCTGCTTGGGAACCCACAGTCCCGGGCTTAACACTGGCAGAATCAGGGGACGCTATAGGATGCCATGGATTAAACCCGTTCAGCCACATGCAAGTCCAAATGTCCTCCCCACTCTACTAGGGCTCTGACCTCATTGGGTTTACTTTCTGGCACTCTGTGGTCTCCCAGCACCACCAGGAGACACTGACCCTTAGGGAACAAGCCAAGGGAAGCCCTTGAGCACTGCTAGATGTGACCTCAAAGCCCCAAACTGGGATTTGATCCAGGCACTGTATGGTCCACGTTGAGAGGAGCACCTGGGCACTGCTAGCTACTACAGCCCTAACAACCAAACAATAGAGAGTAATGAGGTGTCCTAAGGGGAAACTTTGGTAATCTTCATGACTCTAGACTTGGTAAGAAAGGTCACCAAATTCAAGGTGACCGACCTGCTGTGCCTGTTAATTCAGCTGATACATGACACTCCAACACTTTCTGTCTGCCAAGAGATGGAGATCTGAACATTGTTTTCTCTGGAAGGATGGGATCAAGATTTTCCTAATATTAGTTACAGCCTTAATATTAGTGTTAACATACGCCTCATAACATAGGCCCTACAAAAACAGGATGAGAACGCTATTTGTGTCTCCCAAAGAGGAATCAAAAGAGCTATGCTTGGAGTATCACGCTTCACTCAAATGAGAGAAAGAATCCGGAGTTCCGATCTCAGTCAACGGTCAAGAATCAGGGACACTGTCTTGTTTGCCAAGGCGTCGAAAATCAGATGGGCTGGACACGTAATGCGATTTGGAGACGACTGCTGGACTAGAGCCGTTACCGACTGGATTCCACAGGATGTCAAAAGATCGCGTGGCCACCCACCTAAGAGATGGTCAGACTTCTTCGTCAAGACCCTGAACAATCGATTTGAGGCTCTTTGTGTTCCTAGAACGAGCAGCCACCATTGGGCTACACTAGCTGCAACAGGGACAAATGGAGACGTTACTGGCGCCCGCTCGAGCAAATCAATGAGTAAGGGATGTCAAGTGATCAAGTGATCAAGTGATCAAGTTACAGTCACTTTGCCTAGCTAAAATGTCTAGTTAAGAATAAAAGTTAAGACTAAAAGTGAGATCAACTTCCAGATGAATCATGGCAAATCTCAGTCACTGGAGATTGAGTGATACTAAATTGAAGCCCAGAGCCCTCCAGCTGAGAAAGCCCGAAAACCCCTAGAACTTACATTCTTGGTGGACCCCAGTGGCTGAAGTTTGGGGTCTCCTCTCCTTCTCCTTCTTCTCTCTCGGGTAACTCACTAAAGAGGGAGAAAAGAAAAACACACATTCAACTTATAACAGCATATCTGCCTAACTCGTTCTTTATTTTAATGCTGTAAAATTATTTACATTAATAGATGACAGCACAAAGCAAAAAGATGTTGCTTACACATTCAACTCAACAAATAGCAACTCAGCACCCGAAGAAAATCTGAGCTATAAATGCTTTTATTGGTGATATTCGAGATGCTATTTTCCAAAGGTCTGTGCTTGTATAGATTCTTAATCAGTATATAAAACATAATAAAATATATTTCTTAAAATTTGGTGTCTATTGACTAAGAGAACAGCCTAAACATACAGACTTTTGAAATAACCAGTCAGTAAACATGATATTCCTGTCATCCGAACCTTCACTAATTCCTGTTAGTTGTACCACACGAGTATTTTGTGTAAACAGTGCTTTCCAGTTTACAAAGAAATTTACTACCATTGAGTAAGTCGATCCTTTCCAGCACTACAGGGCCTAAGCACCCAAACCTTCAGGCCCACAAACTAGATCAACTAAGCATGTCAGGAAGTAGCGCCCAGAAGTTAGTATTTGGGGGCCTCTCCTCCAAAAGACCCTACAATATGGAAAACTTTAACAATTGTGTAACCAAAAAAAGGTTATACTGTTGGAAGAGATAGACTTTTTCAAAACATATAATGTTTGTTTAGAAAGCGGGAATCCTTATATTTCGTTCAGATAATTTCTTACCTAAAGAGAAGGAAATTTGCAAAAATGTATCTGGTGGTTAGTTTTGTAGATCCAGTTCCTAGAGAAGTGTGACTATACAACTAAAGGAGTCACTTTACATTGGGAAATGCACATACCTTTAAATTCTTGGTTTTGGTTTTGTTTTGGGGCCACACCTGGATCTGTACTCAGGGATCACTCATACTAGATTTAGGGGGACCCTATGGGGCACTGCGGATCAAACCTGGTGGTCGTGTGCTAAGCAGTCACCCTACCCACTGTACTTTTGCTCTAGTCCCAAATGCATATAACTTTAATCCAAATTAAAATCAAACTAAGAAAGCAAAATACTTTTACTGCACTATTAAGATGTTACTATCCAGGGCTGGAGTGATAGTACAGTGAGTAGGGCATTTGCCTTGCACGTGGCCAACCCGGGTTTAATCCCCAGCATCCCAGATGGTCCCCCAAGCACTGCCAGGAGTAAATCCTGAGTGCAGAGACAGGAGTCACCCCTGAGCATCGCTGGGTATGACCCAAAAAGCAAAAAATTTTTAAAAAAATGTGAGCGATAGCACAGTGGGTAAGGCGTTTGCCTTGCACATGGCCAGCCCTGGTTCAATTCCTCCGTCCCTCTCGGAGAGCCCAGCAAGCTACCAAGAGTATCCCGCCCACTCGGCAGAGCCTGGCAAGCTTCCTGTGGCGTATTCGATATGCCAAAAACAGTAACAAGTATCACAATGGAGATGTTACTGGTGGCCACTCGAGCAAATTAATGAACAACGGGAGGACAGTACTACAGTGCTGTACTATCCTTCATAGATTTGGGAGGCCTTTAAAGGCCTTTTGCTTTTATTGCTTATTAAATTGCTTCTTCACTAGTCCCCCCACTAGTGAAGAAGAAGCAGTCACTATTAACATGACACACGACCTTTTTGTGAATAAACATTTCTACTCCACACAAAATCAGAAGAGTCCAGGAAGCCAAGCTGGCCTTTTTTCCTGCTGTGTGCCCTATCTAAACTTTATATATAGAATTCATTTGAGGTGAGGCCAATTCAGCTCTGTAAAACAAGGAAAGAAGGAAAAGTCCTAGTTGTGGGGCCAAATTATCTCCACATTTCTTTCTCTTCTTTACAAACAGTTTCCATGCAACAATGTTCTGCGACAGGCCACCAAGAATATGAGTCCAGAGCTTGACAGAAGGGGAACTCGAGGTTTCCAAAAAAGTAGGTTCTCAGACAAATGCTGCACTAGGGTTTTGCAGCTGCAAAGCAACTTACTACCTGGTGCCACTAGGTGGAAAGTCTGAGACCTGCCCTTACATTCAAGTTTACAACAGCACAGACAAGGCGCTGAGTGAAAGGAGTCGGACCCACTGAATGGTCGTGTTCACGAGAGTTCTGCTATGGGAAAAAGCTGTTATTGCATTAGAAGTCAGAGTGGTACCTGCCTGGGGTAAGACCCTAGAAATAGGTGGGGTGGTGATGGAGATGTTCTGGGGTGATGGAGATGTTCATGATTCTGAGTGAGGTGTTAGTAACTTGAATGTAATCCTTTATCAAGATTAAGCATTTCTTTTGCTAGCTTGAGCACAAATATGATGACTTGTGCATTTTATTAAGGGTGTGGTCCATGATCATGCTCTTAACTTATAGTTAAGTATTATGGCACTTGGCCTGGTCCATTTTGATGCCAGGGTAGCTCAAGCTTGCCCCGGGTCCATCAGTTCCTCGTCAGGACCCTGTTCTTGGAATGCTTGGAACTAAGGGCAACTGAGGCTTAATTAAGTCAAGTAAATACAAATGCCCAGGAGGAGATATTATTTTGAAGTCAATTAACTCCCCTGTGACATATCATATCATAGCAACAATTGTCTTCCTGTATCTGTATATAAAAAGAACATTGCTAAATAAACCATACAAATGATATAAAGAAAAGAGAAAAGCAATAGAGGATTATTAGTTGTGCCTCAGTTGCACTCTTGTAGGAGTAGCTCAATAAACTTCAAGCTCCCTGCGGGAGCAGCAAAGACAACCCGGTGTTATCCAACAGGTGTGGCTCAGGAGTGTTGACAAATACTGAAAGTGCTACAGAGAGTGGTAAAACAAGGGACTGGAGGGTAGGAGGGTGGAGGTCTGATTAAAAGGTGGACTGGAGATAACACAGGGGCACTGGTCAAGGTCTTGGACATTTCAGTGGTTTAGAGGTGAGGTACAGCAAAACCATAAGAGTCAACACTATTGTAAACACGTGGCCCAGACCACAGCCAGTAACTTTAAGAACAGAGTTTGCTAAGGAAGCAGGGTGGGGGAAGGGAGGGAACCTTAGTTCATTGGAAGGACAGTGACACCACTGGTGGGTTTAGAAGTGGACCATTAAATCTGTTATTAAAAGCTTTGTAAGTTATGATGATTAATATAAATAAATTATTTTTAAAAAGTAAGTAGGTTCCAAATAGTAAAAAAGAAAAAATTAAATAAAGAGAAAAGAAGAGAAAACCAAAGTTTAATCCACAAAGAGGAAGTTGTTTCCTTGGGTCAGTATTATTTCTCTTCTGGGCTTTGATATAGCTTAGCTGGTAATTATATTGCTGAAATGCTTCTCTGTGTTGGACTGTCCCTGTCCTAATTTTTCACATTTGTCTTCCCCTGCAGTGTGGACCAAACTGCAGCCCCTCTGTATGACCCAGTCACATCCGGATGGGACCTCCCCATTTCCCCCAAAAGCACCTAGTTTTATTTTTTTTCTTTGTCTTATCACCAGCCTCCTGCTGTTGTTCTGAATTGACATCTCATCTTTGGCAGTTAAACCCACAGTTATATCCAGATCTGCCTCTGAAGGCACTGAAATGCCATGCCTGTCCTGGGGGCTGAAGCAAGCTTTACCTGACCACTCTCCTCCCTTCCACATCACGTCCTTCCTCCTGTCCTTCCCCCTCGGGCACATATCTACCTCCTATTCCACCTAAGGAATCATAGCAAAGTAAAAACACTTTGTTTTGGGAACACTGGTGGTGGAGAATGGGCACTGGTGGAGAGATAAGGTACTCAATCATTGTATGACGGAAATATAATCATGGAAGTTTGTAAGTCTGTAACTGTGTCTCACAGTGATTCATTAAAAAATATTTTTAAAAAATACCATCTTGGTTAATTTACATCCTATTACAGCTACCTGATTTTTTTTCCAACCCAAAACAGTAGTCTTGGGTGTGGGTGTGGGGAATGGCTGGGGGGCAAGCAGGTCTCCAGTTCGATCCCCAGTGCTGCCCACATGTGCTACTCAGGATTCCTAACACTGCAGCTGAGTGTGTGATTTCCAGAGCACAGCAGCCAGGTATACGTGCACAGTTCAACCAAGTGTGCAATCGCACACGACAGCCAGAATAGACGTCAGCACGACTAAAGTGTGTGGCCCCTGGTGAGCATGTGTATGTGAGCACCACAGAAACCCCCAGTGAGCACTGCAACCAGAACATGCGAAAACATAACATTCAAGTGATAGTATAGCGGGTAGAGCTCTTGCCTTGCATAGGACTGACCCAGGTTCGATCCCTGTGAATCCCATATGATCCCCTAAGCACTGTCGGGAATAAATCCTGAGTGCAGAGCCAGGAGTAACCCCTGAGCATCACTGGATATGGTCCAAAAACAAACAAACAAAAAAGTGTGTGACCCGGCACTAGCACCTGGGCAAGTACCCCAATTAAAGGGATACAACCTCCCGTGAGCACCGATGGCATGTGTACCACACAACCTGTTGTGTGTGTGGCTGCAATGAGAACAAAGGCAAAGGAAGGGCAAGAAAGGTGACGGGGATTGAACCTGCGTTGGCTGTGTGCATGGCAAGTTCCCTCCTGCCCACTGGACTTCCCGGCTCCTGAACTTCCCTGTTTCTTTACTGTGAGTTGATCCCATTTTACTAATCAAGAAAACTGGACCAGAGAGATAGTACCGGAGACAATCCCATGGGGCTTTGCCAGGTCATGCTAGTTTGATCCTTGATCCCTGTCCTGCTAGTTTGATATGGCTTCCTGAGCACTGCCAGGGTTACTTCAGAGGTACAGAGTCAGCCCTAACCAGAATACACCTCTGGGGGTGACTCAACTCCTATCCTTCAAAAAAAAGAAAGAAAGGAAGAAAGGAAGAAAGAAAGGAAAAAAGAAGGAAGGAAGGAAGGAAGGAAGGAAGGAAGGAAGGAAGGAAAAGAAAAATAACAACAATAAAACCCTGACAATTGCAAGCATTTTAATAAACTCAGCCACAATGAACGTTATTACCCTGCTCAGGGCCCAGG